ACTTATAATAACCAAGTCACAAAGCACTCAAATAACAAATTATGCATAACTTTGCAAATGGCAATGACCCTAAAGCAGTGGTCGGCAAACTCATTAGTCAACAGAGAGAATATCAACAGTACAATGATTGAAATTTCTTCTGAAAGCCAAATTTTTTAAACTTAAACTTCTTCTAACACCACTTCTTCAAAATACTCGCCCAGGCTGTGGTATTTTGTGGAAGAGCCACACTCAAGGGGCCAAAGAGCCGCATGTGGCTTGTGAGCCACAGTTTGCCAACCACTGCCCTAAAGGAACACAATATATTTCTAAATTAAGCAGGAAACCACAGAAATCATCTGAACTATTCATCTACTGGTATCAAACTTAAATACTTCCATGACCTTAAATCTCAGGTACAGTTCTAGAATCAACTTCAAATTCTACCAACATTCTTTTTTATTTTTTATTTTATTTTATTGATTTTTTACTGAGAAGAAGTGAGAGGGATAGAGAGCTAGAAACGTCAATGAGAGAGAAACATCGACCAGCTGCCTCTTGCACACCCCCTACCGGGGATGTGCCCGCAACCAATGTACATGCCCTTGACCGGAATCAAACCTGGGACCTTTCAGTCCACAGACCGATGCTCTACCACTGTGCCAAATCGGTTTCGGCTCTACCAACATTCTTTTTAAAATATATACATTTTATTGATTTCTAAGAGGAAAGGAGAGGGAGAGAGAAAAACATCAATGATGAGAGAGAATTATTGATTAGCTGCCTCCGAAACCCAGGCATGTGCCCTGACCAGGAATTGAACCGTGACCTACTGGTCAACGCTCAACCACTGAGCCACACTGGCCAGTCTCCATTAGCATTCTTTATTTGCTTTAAAGACTAAAAGGAAACACAACTAAAAAATATATATACTCTCATCTTTATTCTGCCAAAGTATCATTTGCCAGCCTCTTGAAACATGATAGTGTGTTCTAAAGAAACAAAAAATCAACTTCTGCCATCTAGCTAGCCACTCTCAGAATATAACATTTCTCAAGGGTGCCCTAGCCAGTTTGGCTCAGTGGAAAGAGCAGCAGCTGCAGGCCAAAGGGTCTCGGGTTTGATTACAGTCCAGGGCATGAACCTTGGTTGCAGGCTTCTCTCCAGCCCAGGCCCTGGTCAGGGCTGGTGCAGGAGGCAACCAATCAATGTGTTTCTCTGACATTACTGTTTCTCTCTGTCTTTCCCTCTCTCTTCCACTCTCCCTAAAAAAAAAAAAAACACACACACACACACAAAAAAAAAAACAAACAAACAAACACAATCAATGGGAAAAAAAATATCCTCGAGTGAGAATTAAAAAAAAACAACAAACAAAAAACAAACAAACAAAAAAAACTTCTCAAGAGTGTGTATTGACCCCTTAATAGAGGCTAACTGAAGACAAAAAGGCAAACCAATAGTGAACACAAGGCATTTGCAGATTCCTAATGTTAATAATATTCAATCTGACCTGGCTGGTGTGGTTCATTTGGTTGAGCATGCTCCAACAGATCTCTGATTCTGTGTCAGGGCACATGCCACCTGGACTTAATCCCCAGCAAGAGGCAGCTAATCAATGTTTCTCTTTCACATTTAAGAGAATGTGAAATGGCTGCCCAGCTGCCCAGCTACCCAGGGCCACCCAAGGCTCAGGTAACCACGGCCAACCAAGGCTTGCGCTGACAGCAGTGGCAGCAGCAGAGGTATGATAGGGACATCTCCTTCCCTGATTGCTGGGTCACCTCCTGCACCTGAGGACTCCCGCACTGTGAGCGGGCGGGCCGGGCTGAGGGACACCCCCTCCAGTGCATGAATTTTCATGCACCAGGTCTCTAGTTTAAGGTGTAATAATAATACATGGTCTATATAATTTACAGACTTAAACATCTTTATCAACAAAGTTGGTATATAAAATTATTATCTATCAGTTAATCAAATATTTCCTATTAATTTAAAATTTAGGAGATCCAGAGTTTTAAAAGACAGGCTATTTACAAAGCAGTACTAAACTCGTAAATCAAAGGAGTTACTGTAGCATTTCCAAAATTTTAAAATCAGATAGAAATTTCTATCTGATGTTTTTATCATTCACTAAAAGGCATTGAAACTGTATTAGTTCTTTAAAAAGAAGAAGGAAGCAGAAGGTATAGAAGCCCCTAACCCATTTTGAGACAATAGGAGAACAGAAAGAAGAAAATGACCATTACTACTTCTACAAGTTAATTTGAAGTCCACAGACTTAAATTAACCTATTTTAATCACATATAATCCCTTACATATTGGCTGGTCAATCATCTTAATTCCATTCTGGCTTGCAACAATCATTAGTGACCCTAATCCTAATGGGAATAAGTGCTTCCTTCAATTTCCAAAATCAATTCTAAATCTTTCAGAATCATACTAGACTGTCTGAGAAGCTATATCAGAAAAAGGGAAGATTTTTCTTCTCAGAAATTAATATTCCTCTGACCTGTTTTTCCCTTCAGTGAAGCAGTTAAGCTGGCAGGCCAATGCCCATTTTATATCCATTCAAGCATCTAGAGTTAGTTTACTAACTCGAATTTCACCTGCAGAGCTGAAAAAATAATTGTTCTAGTTCCACAAAGAGTCAAATCTAAAACTCTTGGCTTTCTCACTGCAATTGCTGTATGAGAGACCAGCCTGCAATTCTGGCCTTGGTCAAGCACCACATACACCCCCTTGAGCATACCCAGCACAGGAAACCACCCTATACCAATCAATACTCAATTGTCCCACCGCTTTAAAACCCAATGCTGTTTCTCCTCCACAATACACTGCCTTTTTAAAAGCTCCTACAAATTCTACTTTCCTAGTACCAGCCTCACCATTAATAACCATAAGACTTCACACTTCAAACATTAGATAATAAGAAACTTCTTTCCTGTCTCCTACACAGCAATATCAAGCTTTTCACCACATACCTAATGACATTTTAACAGAATAGTACACAAAAATCTTAAGATGTTTAACAATAAGAAATAAATATGAAAACTATCCTCATAAAGTATCACATATTGCAATTTCTGACAAACCTTCAAGGAACCCTTACAGAAAGAAAATTTAAATGTGTTAAAGTCTTCTAAAATAAAAAACGCTAAAAATGCTCAGTCTAATGGAAAAGTTATTATTTATAACAATGACTTTAAAACACTTTAACCCAAGAAACCAGAAAGGATATATGCACCTCTATTTTCATAGCAGCACAATTTACAATAGCTAAGATTTGGAAATAGCCTAAGTGCCCATCAGCTGATGAGTGGATTAAAAAACTGTGGTACATCTACACAATGGAATACTATGCCGCTATAAAAAAGAAGTAATATTTGCCATTTGCATCAGCATGGATGGAACTGGAGAGCAATATGGCTAAGCAAAATAAGTCAGTTGGAGAAAGATAAATATGACATGACCTCACTCATATGTGGGATATAACGATCAACATAATTTGATGAACAAGAATAGATCCAGAGACAAATGGTGGGTGGGGGGGGGGAGGCGGTTAGAGAACAACCAAAGTACTTGCATATTAGCATAACCAAAGGACACAGTCACTGGGGCAGTGGGGGCTGGCCCGGGGTGGGAATGGCTGGGGGAAAAAGAAGACATATGTAAAACTTGAGAAAATTAAAAAAAAAAAAAAACACTTTAAGAAATCCTGTGTCTTTAATTCTATATTCCAATATTTTAAAAATGTATTAAGGTACATACTTAGTATTATTACATTCTACATTATTCAATAATCACAATATTCATTTAAATAAATTATCCAATTTCTTAATCTCTCACTCTTGAGTTTATGGGCTTGCCAAGCTTATTCAACTAATATACTGTTGCAGCAACCAGGCTATCATCTCTCACAAAAAGACTTTAAAATTTTTATTCTGGGTAATAAAAGAGGTTGTGGGAAGACATTGTGGATCGTCCAAGATGTGTTCTCTCATCATATCACATACTTTACAGTGTAGCTATTCTTGTAATGCAGAATAAAGTAAAGAGACTTGCCATTAGTAAAAAACTGCCTGTAAAAAATAAATTAATCCCTTTCAAATATTTTGGACTGTTTCACACTGTGAGTTAGGATTATTCATAACTGTAAAGAAAATCTACCCACCCCTAGCTAGTGGATAGAGCATCGGCTTGTGGAATGAAGGGGCCTGGGTTCAACTCCGGTGAGGGGCTTCTCCTGGCCCAACCCCTGGTCAGGAACTGTGAAGAAGGCAACCAGTCAATGTATTTTTCTCACATTGATATTTCTCTCTGTCTTTCCCTCTCTCTCTAAAAAAAAAAAAAAAAAAAAAAAAAGAAAAAAAAAGAAAAATCAATGGAAAAATCTCGTCAGGTGAGGATTAAAAAAAAAAAAAAAAAACTACCCAAAATTTGAATATGATTACAATGACCCATCTTGAAATAAAGATCACAGTGTCTGAAAAATCTCCCCTGCAAAAGACTTCAGGAGCAAAAAGATAGTCAGAACTGAGGAATATAAAGAAAATCCTTTTTCACACTTCATTACAATTTCTGTAAGCATACCATGGGAGAAGTATTTGTTTTGAGGAGGTGAGGAATGTTTTAAAAACTGCAGAAAAGTACAGAGAAATAAAGTGTTAGAATATGCATATAAGTATCATTCTGGTTCCCAAAGATTCTCATTGCTTAATAATTGCTCAACAAGCATTGTGAGAAATCCACGGGAGTACACTATATATTATATTACCATTGTACAGAACACACACACATAAATGACTCACATCAATAACTGCCCTATCATTTAAACGTTTAAGTAACGGCCACTAATTCCAGATAAATACTATTAGGCCAGGTTCCTAAGGTTATCTGTATGTTACAGTGCCTGATCCACACTAACCCTTATTACCTATCCCCCGGGAAGTTATCAAGTAGAAACTCAAATGAAGACAGTGATCTCATACAGAGTTTGCAGGTCAGTGAGACCTACATACCGGCAGGTCCACACTGACATCAGTTCCATCCAGAAGAGACACCCGACACGTGATGATGGACTTAGAGTCTCCAGCTGCAGGAATGTGTGTGGCAGCTCGCTGGGCTTCTCGGAGTCGTTCCTTCTCAGCATGCTTACGCATTGACCGACGCCCAAGCGTTCTACGGAAGAATCTCAGCATTTTTGTCACTATAGAACAGGAGAGAAAAAAGTATCAGAAGGCTCCTGAATTTGCAGTTAGAAAAATGGTGTTATTTAGTAAAGTTCTGTGGCCATTCCTAAATATGTTACCCTGTTTCCCCGAAAATAAAACAGTATCTTATATTAATTTTTTCTCCCAAAGTTTCACTAGGTCTTATTTTCAGAGGATGTCTTATTTTCGGGGAAACATGGTATTTAAAAGTGCATCAGGTCAAATAAATTTGAAAAACTAATTAAAACTGGCCACTTCAAAGTTTTTAAAGATTTTATATAAAATATTATTATGGCTTACAGCATTTCTAAACATAGTGGACTATTTGATAAGGAGCTGATCTGGTAGGAGAGAATAAACATTTATGAAGAGGCCTTTGAATCACTAAATTATAGCCATATCCCCACAAACATTACGAGGCAATGCAATACACAAACCATGTCAAACTTGTGGCCCAGCCAATGTAACAATATGTAAGAAATCCTATATAATAAAAAGATAATATGCAAGTTGACCATCACACCCTCACAAGATGGCTGCCTACGACCAGGCCAGCAAGGAGGCTAGTGAGGGACAACCAAGCAACTGAACAAGCAGGCTGCGTGGAGTGACCAGGCCAGCAGGGGGGTTAGTGAGGGACAACCAAGGGAATGAACAAGCAGGCTGTATGGTGACCAAGTCAGCAGGGTGGTTAGTGAGGGATGACCAAACGACTGAACAAGGAGGCTGTGTGGGGCAACCAGGCCAGCAACAGGGTTAGTGAGGGACGACCAAACAATTGAACAGCAGGCTGCATGAGGCGACCAGGCTGGTGAGGAGAGATGGGGGGAAGGGGGCAGTTAGGGATGACTTGGTCTGTGGAATCAGGCCTAAACCAGCAAACATCCCTCTCACAATCCAGGACTGCTAGTTCCAAACCTCTCGTCTGTGTGCCTGCCTGCCCCTAACTGCTTCTGCCTGCCAGTCTGATCACCCCCTAACCACTTCCCTGCTAGCCTGATCAACGCCTAACTGCTCCCCTGTGTGCCCGATTGCTCCTAACTACCCTCCCCTGCCGACCAGGTTGCGCCTGCCCTCCCCTACAGGCCTGGTCTCCCCCAACTGCCCTCCCCTGCTGCCCTGATCACCCACAATTACCCTCTGTTGCCGGCCATCTTGTGGCAACCATCTTTGACCACATGGGGATAGCCATCTTGTGCGATGGCTTGTGGGTCAATTTGCATATTACCTCTTTACTATATAGGATGACTAAATTATTAGCTGAACTATGTAGTGTACTATGATTACTTTCCCTTTTCTACACAACTTCCTGTTTTCTCTGTAATGAAATTGTCTTATTTGTTTATTAGCTTAGTTATATCTATTTATTTTTCTCAAATTCTTAGTTTTATAAATTCAAACATTAGGTTAACATGGTAATTTTTATGGTATTTCCATTTTATGTGTATTATATTTTTTAAATTACTAATACCCATTTTTACTAGTATTATTTTTAATGTTCATAATAGAGATAAGAACAAATTAACATTAATTTGATATTTTGAGGAATTGTTTATATTAAGTAGCAGCTTAAAATCTGTAACTAATAGAATATTTGATAAAATCTTATACTTAGCCAAAACTGGTTTGGCTCAGTGGATAGAGTGTTAGCCTACGAACTGAAGGGTCCCGGGTTCCATTCGGGTCAAGGGCATGTACCTTGGTTGCGGGCACATCCCCAGTAGGGGGTGTGCAGGAGGCAGCTGATTGATGTTTCTCTCTCATTGATGTCTCTAACTCTCTATTCCTCTCTCTTCCTCTCTGTAAAAAATCAATAAAATATATTAAAAAAAAAATTTATACTTAAAATATATTTGTATTTTTGTTGAAAAAAGTGATTATTTTTTATTGTTATTATGGAAGCTCAGAAGATAAATGGAACTTCTTAGGATTATTATCCTCAAAAGATACCTTAGAGCAGTGTTTCCCAAACTTATGACATATGTGTACCCCTTCTATAATTTTCGTAACACTGAGTACACCTCGTACTCAAGAGAACGTAGAATTAGGCACAGCTAAGCACAGTGCAGTGCATATCCCCACCAAACTCCGGTGCAACGCGTACCCCCACCAAACTCTTCCCGTACCCCTGGGGGTATGTGTACCACACTTTGGGAAACACTGCCTTAGAGTATGGCAAGCTGGTCAAACTCAAAGGCTAACACAGGCCAAATAAACAAGGTTTAAGTTTATGTGGGCCAAAAAAAACCAAAAGCTTCAATTTTCATAGAAACAAAGATTTATTTCAGTAGAGACATGCTGAGTACAAAGGCTAAAATAAATGAGTAATTGTTAACATAAAACAATAGAACATTTTAATAAAAATTAATATTTTTTCTTGAACATTAACTTACCAGACACTGAATAACTGCACAAATTAATAAGTGTAATGCAAATAAACCTATTTTTCTTGTTCTCCAAAAGTGAAATATTTCCTGTTGTGCAAACCAAACAAATCAGTACAAGACTAATGACATGGATATCAGCTACTAAAATATTCGCTGCTAGTATTAGTGGAGAGAAATGGTGTGCCTGTGTGTAAGGCGAGTAAGGGAAATGAATACAACACGATCATAGTAATTAGTCATTAACAAATATTGTAGTTCGTTATTAATAACTAGAGGCCTGATGCATGAATTTGTGTATGGGTGGGGTCCCTTGGCCTGGCCAGTGATCAGGGCCAATTGGGGTTTGGGAGGTTGGCCAGCTGCCCTGATTGGGTAGATTGGGACTGGACAGGTAAGGGGGAGGGGCTGCAGGAGGTTGGCTGGCCAGGGGGAGGGGCTGCAGGAGCTATGGAGGCTATTAGGCCAGCCAGCTGGAGGGGTGGGGAGGGGCCGTGCAAGACTGGCTGTGGGAGCGCACTGACTACCAGGGGACAACTCTGCCCCCATGTGGACACAAGATGGCCACCACAAGATGGCCAGCAGGGGAGGGCAGTTGGGAGGTACCAGGCCAGCAGGGGAGGGCAGTTGGAGGTGATCAACCCTGCAGGGGAAGGCAGTTAGGGGTGACCAGGCCAGCAGAGGAAGGAAGCTGGGGGAAAACAGGCTGACAGGGGAGCAGTTAAGACATCAATCAGGCTGGCATGGGAGTGGTTAGGGAGTGATTAGGCTGGCAGGTAGAAGTGGTTAGAGGCAATCAGGAAGGCAGGCAGGCGAGCAGTTGGGAGCCAGCAGTCCTGGATTGTGATAGGAATGTCCGACTGCCCGTTTAGACCAGATCCCACCGGGTCTAAATGTTCAAACAGGCATTTGAACATCCCTCGAGGGGTCCCAGATTGGAGAGGGTGCAAGCTGGGCTGAGGGACACCCCCAATCCATGCATGAATTTCATGAACCAAGCCTCTAGTGTGTGTGTGTGTGTGTGTGTGTGTGTGTGTGCATTTGTTAATTTGTATAATTAACAAATCTTGCATAACTAGTTGATGCTTTAAACTAGATGCATTTATAAATATGATAAATATAAAAGCTGAATTAACATAAACATAGAAAAAATAATTCAATAGCTATAAATTGAGGATTATATCCTCCTTTTACAAGTAGGCATACTCCTATGTAATTATGTAAACTGGCAAAGCCAGAACAGTTGTCATTTGAACTTCCCAAGGATATAAATCATATATACACACTTGAACAGACTGGTTGTTAATGATAGGTAACATTAAAGAATTACTTCTAAAGAATTACTTCTCCTAGCTGTTTGCTCAGTGGATAGAGCACTGGCCTGCAGACGGAAGGGTCCCAGGTTCATGCTGGTCAAGGGCACAGGCCCGGGTTGTGGCTCAATCACCAGTGTGGGGCATGCAGGAGGCAGCCAATCAACAATTCTCTCTCATCACTGATGTTTCTATATCTCCCTTTTCTTTCTGAAAGCAATAAAATATTTTTTAAAGAATTACTGCTATTTTTATTTTAGATAAAATAGTATTAAAAATGTTTTTAAAAGTCCTTATCTGTTATTTTTAACCTCCAAAAATGTGTCCTCTTTAATGTTAATGAGAGTACTATACACAGCAAAGACATATCTTAAACACAGTGCTTTGATTTGGGTTCAGTTATTAAATTTTAATTATTAAAAATGTTATTTCAAAGTTATATTCTCATCAGGAAAATGTGAAAAGGTTACGGATACATTTTCTATAATTTTTATGCCATAAACACATTGTTTAGATTAGGGGTGTCGAACTCAATCAGAGAAGGGGCCAAAATCTAAAATCCAGCCTAAATCGCGGGCCGAATGGTTTACTGAACAGTCATAAACTGTCATTGTGATGGAAACGCAGCGGAGTGCAGTGATGACAGCGCGGTGCGGGCCACATTGCAAGGCCTGGCGGGACGGATTTGGCCCGCGGGCCTTGTGTTTGACACATGTGGTTTAGATCATTTAATATGAAGCAATTGTACTGACATATCTTGTTCCATTTTCCCATTGGATAAAAATATTTTATAAATTTTTTAGAATAACTTGAAGAGATAGACTCCTTATCTCTTCAAGATACATATTGATGTCCTAACCCACATGTGTCAAACACAAGGCCCGCGGGCCAAATCCGTCCCGCCAGGCCTTGCAATGTGGCCCGCACCGCGCTGTCATCACTGCACTCCGCTGCGTTTCCATCACAATGACAGTTTATGACTGTTCAGTAAACCATTCGGCCCACGATTTAGGCTGGATTTTAGATTTTGGCCCCTTCTCTGATTGAGTTCGACACCCCTATGACCTAACCGGTTTGGCTCAGTGGATAGAGCGTTGGCCTGCGGACTGAAGGGTCCTATGTTCGATCCAGGTCAAGGGCATGTATCCTGGTTGTGGGCACATCCCCAGTAGGGGGTGTGCAAGAGGCAGCTGATCGATGTTTCTCTCTCATGGATGTTTCTAACTCTCTATCCCTGTCCCTTCCTCTCTGTCAAAAATCAACAAAATATATATTTTTTTAAAAGATTCATATTGATGTTTTTATAGAAGGGATTATAAAAGGTCTAGTATTTGCATTAAAATAATACAAGGAAGTGGAAGAGATTAAACAAACTGACCAGATAACTGGCCAATACCTGTTGAAACTGGATGATGGGTACATGTGGTTTATTATACTTTTCTGACTACTTTGGTGTATGTTGAACTTTTCTATAAAAAAATTTTAAGGAAAAAAATATTCAAAATGTACTACAATTTTGAGGTTTCTCTAGAAAACAAATGAATTATAAAACAAGTTCTGTGACTTTCTAACTTTCACTTCTACACCTTGAAAATAAAGACTTAACTTGCTAAGGAAAAATCCAGCTCCTTTCAGATTTACAATTTCAAGAACTATGTATTTAGAACTATAAAACCAATTTCACAAATAAGTTCTTTCTATAAAAATATAAAAGCAACTTACATGAAAATAAATTTCAGATGAACTAAAGATTTAAAGTGAAAGAAATGAATACTAGACGGAAACAAACAGTATACTAAAAAAAATTTTTTAAGAGATTAACATGCAGTTTATTTAAGAATTATCACAAATCATTAAGATAAACCCAACAGAAAAACAAATGGGCTAGATATGAAGAAACAAGCTCTAAAAGGTGATAAGCAATGAAAATATTCATTAAAATGATGTTCAATCTCAGCATTATTAACCAAGAAAATACAAACTTAAAAAATAAGATAATGTCTGTCATTTAAGAGACTTACAGATAGCCAGGGTTGAAAAGGATATGGGGAAAAACACTGTCCTCTTTGGAGGAGGATTTGACAACATTGACAAAAAAAATTTTTTTTAAATAGATTTTATTGATTTTGTACAGAGAGGAAGGGAGAGAGATAGAGAGTTAGAAACATCGATGAGAGAGAATCATTGATCAGCTGCCTCTTGCACACCCCCTATTGGGGATATGCCCGCAACCAAGGTACATGCCCTTGACCGGAATCGAACCCGGGTCCCTTCAGTCACCAAGCCGATGCTCTATCCATTGAGCTAAACCGATTTTGGCAACATTGACAAAATTTTAACATGCAAATCGTTCACTCAGCAATTCTATTTCTGGTAGGATATCCTAAAGAAATAGTCCCACACATGCTTCAAGTTGTAGAAACAAGAATTTTTCAGGACATAATTAAGAAGACTTTAAATATGTCCCTCAACATGCAAGTAGTTAAATTATGGTACATACAATGGCATATAACACAGCTGTTTTTAAAATACAGTTGATCTTGGACACAAACAAAATTTTAACTGAAAAATGAAATCAAGAGAAAAAGGAATATAATTTTATCTCACACTGAGGTGGATATATTTACTTATACATATATATTTACTTATATCTTACTAGAGGCCTGGAGCATGAAATTTATACATGGGAAGGGGGGTCCCTCAATGTAGCCTGCATTCTCTCACAATCCAGGACTGCTGGCTAACTGTTCACCTGCCTGCCTTCCTGATCACCCCCTAACTACTCACATGCCTGCCTGATAGCCCCTAACCACCTCTGCCTCAGCCCCTGCCACAGCAGCTCCATCTGGAAGGATGTCTGGAATGACAGCCGGAAGGTCGTTCAGCTGGCTGGTCTAATTAGCATATTACCCTTTTATTACTATAGATAGACACAAAAGGAATAGAAGGACATGCAAACTGTTAAGTGAAGTTATCTCTTGAGAGGGTTGTTTTGGTAGTTAAAATTTTCTATAAGAACATAAGATGTCAATAGTTTAAATTTTGTTTAAAAAAAAATTCCCCATATTCACACCCCCGCACCCCACCTTGCATGTTCTTCATGCAGCAGATTTTTTGCAGCCACAAATCTGACCCCTGCTTAAAAGTGTCAATGTCCTCCCTTGCTCTCTGGTCCAGCTCCTACACTTGGCTTGATCCCTCTTGGCAGCCCACTGCCAGCTGCTCGTTCTGCTCTGGTACCCCTTGGGCTCAGCCCAGGAGTCTTTCCCCCTATCAGTTCCATCTGTTAGGAATGCTCTTTCCCACCTCTCACTCCCCCACCCTCTCCCACTCCACATGACTAATTTCAGGTTTCTGGCTGAAATGTCTTTTCCTCAGAAAAACATTCCTGACTCCTGAGTCTAAATAACATGCTCCTTTTATTACCCTTAGCCTTTTCTTTATAACCCTTAATGAAACTAATTAAACACCCCATTGTCTAATTACTTGTTTTACTGGGTAGACCCTCAAGGACAGGGACCTACTCTGCTTCATTCTCATCATGGCCTCGCTGGCACAACAAGATGCATACTAGGCACTCAATAAAGAGTGTGTCTGACACAAATCATACCATGGGAATTTCGGATGGTAGGTTAAAAAAAATATTAGTTTTTATCTGTTGTTTCTAATTTTTTGGCAGTAAACTAACAAGAAGGGTTTCCTTTTCAATCATAAAAATACAGATGGCCTGTACTACCTAAATTAAGTTTTCATACATATGTAAAACTCAAAAGTTTGTGTATACTTTCACTCATGGCTGGTGGCCACAATCTTTGATAAGCAATTTCTTTTTAATAAAGCAATAGACCAATATACAGCAATTGCCGTAAAGATATATATATCTTCTGCCCCAATAATCCCAAAATACTTTCCTGTAAGAGGATTTTTATTCAACAGAAGGTATACTGGATATGTCGTTTTTTAATGAAGTTTACCTAGAGAAAAACAGTAAAACCTTGAAAACCAGTTTACATGCCCAAAAAGTCCGCTGTTGGGTAGGGTTCACCAACGTGTGGGCGATGTTAGAAACCGAGTTATGCTTTTGATATTCACTTAAAATGCGGGTCTCCTGAATTCAGGAGACGCGGTGGCTAGCAGGATGGTGACAAACACAATTCGCATTCCCAGCCCAGGACCGTCCGGAACTCGCCCCGCCGGGGGAGGGGAGCACCTGCCTCTCACCGCTCCCGGAGCTAAGTCTCCGCCGAACCAGAACGGGCTCCGGGAACCGGGTTTGTCCTGGACCGTGACGGCTCCACCCGCCGCGCCAGCCGGACGGCAAGGCGCCCCTCGCAGGTGCCGGGCAGCGCGGCCTCCGGGGGCCCCCCCGCGCCCCCTGCGCCGACCCCCGCCCGCCCTGCGCCCGGACCCCGCCCGCCCCGCGCCCCCCGGGCCGGACCCCCGCCCGCTCCGCGCCCGGACCCCCCCGCCCCGCGCCCCCCGGGCCGGACCCCCGCCCGCCCTGCGCCCGGACCCCCCGCCCGCTCCGCGCCCTCCGCGCCGGACCCCCGCCCCCCCGCCCGGACCCCCGCCCGCCCCGCGCCCTCCGCGCCGGACTCCCGCCCGCCCTCGGGGCGGCCAGGCGGGCGGGCCAGGGACCGGCGCACCTTCACCCGCTTCGCCCCCGGCGCCCCGAACCCAGCCGCGCCGCACGGGTCGCCCGAAACTCGGCGGCCCTGCCCATTGGCCGCCGCCGCCCCTCCCTCCCGGCGCGTTTAATGTGTAGCCGGCCCGGCCCGGAGCTCCAGGCGGCGGGCGGTCCCGGCGGACGCGAGGCCGCAGCCCCGGGCGCGAGCGCAAAGCCCCCGAGCGGGCGAGGACGGGCCCGGCCGGGGCTGAGGGTGCGAGGCGGGGAGCGAGGACCGAACCCCCACGCTGAGGTGCGGAACGCGGAGCAGCCAGCGGGCGGGCCCGGGCCTCGCGCTTACCTGGGGGGGGACAGCGCGGCGGCGACCGGGCGAGGCTGAGGCGGGCGGCCCCTGGGAGGCGCGGAGCAATGGCGGCCTGCGGCGCGAGCCCACCGGACACAGGTCCCCGGAGACCCCGCCGCCGGCCCGCCCCTTAAAGCCCGTGAGGCTCCGCCCCCGGGGCGGGGCGGGAGCCGCTCTTAAAGGGCAACGCCGCCGCCCCGGAAATTGCCCTGCCCCGAGAGTCAGGTTAAAGGGGCGGAGTCAGGTTAAAGGGGCGATGTGGGGCGGGGGGGCGGGAACCTGCTCTGTGGTCCGGGGACCGCGGCTGCCAATCCCGGCTGCCAATCCCAGCTGCCCATCAGCCCTCGCCCTGGGAGTGCGGACTCCCCCTACCCTCAAAACCACCCCATCACAAAGGTGCTTCCCGGAGCTGCTAATTCGTTCAAGAAATTAACTTAGCAAATATGGACAGCCTTATTGCTAAAGGAGTATGTACAGCTAAGTGTCCGACCATCCGGGTAAATGACAAGAGCAACACCTGGCTTCCTCGCCCTGGCCACAGCTAGCCTCAGGTGGAAACACTTTACACTCTGACCAGATGTCTGTGAATCCTTTCCCCATGCCTCATCTCATTTGGTCCTCACAGAAGACCTGGAGTAGGTAGATAGGAGACTCAGCAGAATCCTACTTTCTTTTCATTAACTGGAAAACAGAGATTTGGAAAGCTTGGAAACTTGACCCAACTGAAAAGAAGTAAGAAATGGTGGACCTTAAAAATGATTTCAGGTTTTCTCACTGTGCAGAGTATAGTAAACACTGCTGCTGTTAAGTATTTTACCCTTTGGTCTCCCTGCGTGAACTACAATAACAATGAAACAGGATTTTTGGACTGGAACACGCGGTATTCCCCTGGGCAGACTGGTTCCCGGACTCTTTGTCCGTGGGAATCAAAGAATAAATCCACAGACGGAAGGTGACAGAGCAAAGGTGGAAATTTATTGAAGAACAAGTATAGATTCCCATGTGGGGAGGGGGAAAGTGTCTCACTGAGTTCCTTTTCCCTATCCTACATAATGAAGAGGTAATATGAAAATTGTCACCTTCACCTGGAGTTTGACTGCAGTTTGACCAGGGGGCATGGCCGGCCCACCAACCGCCCACAGCCCCTCCCTCTGGCTATCTCGGCCCAATCCGGGCAAGCTGGTTGGACCCAAACCATGCACAAATTCGTGCACCTGGCTTCAAGTTATTTATAAAGGCCTCAGGTCTTTGTGCCTTGATATTCCTCTGATCGGTTACTATTCTCACGGACTGGTTACTATGGTAACTCCTGAGCTCTTCCTATTCCCTTTGGGCTTGCTTCTCCTTCTGGATGAGGAGCTTCCTTCCCTTTATTTCTTAAATATAGACCTTTTGCTGTTCCCAGCTCCCTCATTCTGTGGAAAATGTACTGTTACAGCTTTTCATCTCTCCTATGGAAATATACCCTCTGCTGCTCTGCAGCCCTGTGCTTCCTCCATGGTCCCTTAATTTCTAAAATTTCCTAAGTCTGTCTTTTTTACTCCTAAAAATTCCCACTTCAGAAATGTACTTTGTGTTGATATTTACTACTGAGCTGCTGACAATTACCTGAAAGAGAAGTTGGGGTGCTTCATTAAGCTGGAAAAATTTTAGCTACATCAGAAAGCAGGTCTAATTAAGCAAATTTGTTCTATATAAAAGGCTAAATTGACTCACACATGCAATACATATAAAGCTCTCGCTGGCGCCAATCACGTGTGTATTTCGATCTGTCGTTGTTGATCATGAATTTGGTTGTTTTTATTGACATTCTGAAAGCTGAAAGAAAGCAGCAGCATTGCATGGAAGTAACAATGGCAATTAAATGTGATTGTAATAGTGATCCAGGTAGATATAATTATTCTCGTGTAACCAAAGTTGCCCTCATATTCAGAAACGAAGATGGAGGATCTCCTTTGGAAAGGGACTTGCTCATTCATTGTAAATCAGACCCCAATACTCCAAATGCCACTAAAATGAAACAAATCACTATCCTGTTTCCTACATTAGATGCAATGCCGCATCCTATTCTTTACTCCTGTGGTGGAAAAGACTGGGAACAAATATTGCTTCAAGACTCAGAGAGGACAGTGTAATCCTATATAATAAAGATGTAATATGCTAATTGATTGTCACACCATTACAAGATGGCGGCACCCACAGCAGGGGCAAGGCCGGCTGTTCCACGCCCCAGCCACTGGAGTCGCCTCAGCACCGCCAGGGGCCTCGGATCCTCTTGCACCTCCCCACAGACAGGTTCGGGCAAGCCGGGCCAGCCCCAGGCACAGGCAAGCCTCGGACCAGCCTGAGGTTCAGGTAACCAGGGCGCGCTGAGGCTTGCTCTTCCAGCAGTGGCAGCAGCAGAGGTGTGATGGGGGCATCGCCTTCCCCTGATCACTGAGTCACCTTCCACCCATGAGGGCCCCTGAACTGTGAGAGGGGGCAGGCTGGGCTGAGAGACCCACCCTCCAGTGCATGACAATAATACTAGATTCAATGGAGGATGCCAAAAAGGAAAATTTTCCCATCACATTTCTTAAAAATATTACTCCTTTGAGAATGCTATGTCATAAATCATCATGCTACTGAGAAATCTCAATAGCAAATGGGGTCTTTGTAATGGTACTAGATTTATTTTCAAAAGATTTTGACTTAACATATCGAAGCTGAACTATTTACAGGATCTGCAGAGGAGTGGTTGTTCTGATTCCAGGAATGGATTTGTCCCCATCTGACTGGCCTCAGTATTAGAATAAGTTTAATCAACTTATCAGTCATTGTTTTTATCAATGTTATTTTTATATCATGTCTTTGTTGTTGTTATATCATGTTGTTATTTATTTATTAATCAATTTTTAGATAATTTTTATAGGCATTTTATTAATTTTCATTCATCTCTGACACTTCTTTTTTTAAATATATTTTATTGATTTTTTACAGAGAGTAAGAGAGAGGGATAAAGAGCTAGGAACATTGATGAGAGAGAAACATCAATCAGCTGCCTCCTGCACACCACCTACTGGGGATGTGCCTGTAACCAAGGTAATACATGCCATTGGCCAGAATCGAACCCGGGATCCTTCAGTCCGCAGGCCGATACCAAATCAGTTTCGATTCTAACATTTCTATTATAGAGAAAGGGCGAATAGAGATATTAAAATATTTCTTCTAAATAATTTCCTTTCGATGTGCATGAATTCATGCACTGGGACAATAGTTCCTAATAATTAATCATCTTCCCAAATCCTCTCTCCCAGACATAAGTATCATCTGCAACATCCCTGTTTTGTAGTAAGTTAGTCCACTAATTGACTCCCACCAGAGAAAGAGAAGTCTTTCTCCTTGAATGCCGCTGAATTAAGTAAAAATGAATTTGGCTGCAAGTAATAGGGAAAAAATTAACAGTACTTAACCAAATAAGGAGTTTATTCTTCTCACATAAGTAAGGTAGGCAGCTGCCTAGTTCTGGTTCAGCTCCTCAACAATGCTGTAAGAATCCTAAACACTTACTCTCTCCATCCTTGACATGTTGAGTCTGGTTTTTCTGCTTCCAGCCTTCTGACCACAGGAGGGCTGCCATAGCTCCAACTCTCCTATCTGAGTTTCAGAAATGAAAAGGGAAAAATATCCTCTCTTCCTGAAGCTTTGTCGTTTAGTTCAGGAAATAACTGAGGACTTTTGTCCCACATGAGCAAAACTTTCTCCTCTTGTCCTGATTTCTAAGCTCTTTACTTTCTTGGTCAGTTTCTCCACATTGGTGGAGCCATTTATGCCAAGGGATCCTGAGCAGAGAGGAGCAGAGGGAATTCAATATAAGATTAGTCCTCCTGGAGATTGAAGAAGTTTTGCATTCCGAAGTCTCCATTGAAAAGAAGACACTATCAGGGGAAGGGGAAATGGGGGACATTTGTAGTAGTATTTGTAGTCAGTTTTAAAAAGGCAATTAGTGAAAAAAATTAGAAAAGAAAGCACATCAAGAGAGTAGGTATGAAGGATTTATCAGACACTGGATCTACCTATTCAAATAATGCACACAGATAAAACACAGTCACGTGCCACATAAGAACGTTAGGTCAATGATGACTGAAGAAAGACCAAGATGTCAGTGTAGTTAAATGCCTGTACTCGCCACCTCCCACAACCACATCAAAATTACAACTAAATACAGAACAAACATCATTCAAAATAACCTGAAAGATGGCTGAATGGAAGTACTACAACCAGAGACATAAAGAAGAAACACATTGAGATTGGTAGGAGGGACAGAGGCATGGAACAGGCTGGTCTGACACTCATGTGTGCTTTATTTATTTATTTTCTTAATCTGGAGGGAGATTGCCTCTGGGGAGGTCCCCCGTGAGGAGCAACGGGTCCCAGCCCCACACCAGACCCCCCAGAGCAGAGTTCCAGAGCTGGGAAGAGAGGTTCCCACAACTATTACTATGAAAAATAGTGGGAATTGTGGCTGAGTGACATGAAGGCTGCAGAAACCCAGGTGTTGCATTTAAAAGGCAAGTGCACAAGCTTACTTGGACTGGCAGCATCAGGCAGCTTTGGGGGTCCCAGACACATATGGGGAGGAAATGGGGCAGTAACTTAGGAATGGCTTTCTCCCAGATTGAGGTGCTCAAAAGAGTCATAGTGCCTGTGCTAGGATCTCTCCCATCAAGAGCTGACTGGCAGCCATATCTGAATCTCCATTAGTCTGTTTCACCCCAAGGATTCCTTAAGACCCCACCCCATCCTTAAAACAGCCACACCCAAGCTATTTGTACCAGCTTTTCCATATGAATGGCCTGTCTTTGCTCGTGCTTCAGACTTTGCTAAAATAGCTCAAATAAGCTGCAGTAAAAGGCCCAAGATGGGGCACTAGCACCAGCATGCCTCACCTTACAACTGGGCCTTATCTGGTACCACCAAGCCCAATATATATAGCAAATAGCAACTGCCTGCAGATTCCTCTAAAGCTCCTGTTGTGAGGCCCCAGGCATTGGCTGACATTCCACCTCCCTGGAGGCTCTATAGCCAGTGCATCCAGTGGACAGTTTCAGACCATCCCTGATTATAATGCTACACCTCTACA